ACCTATGACATACAACTGTCTACTGGGGCTTTGGGGGGAAAAAAATGAATAAATAAAATCTTTAAAAAGTGGCATAATAGAGAATGCCTGGTACCTGGTCAATGAAGGACTCTTTGAGAAGAGGGCATTTATATTATGACCTAAAAGACAAGAAGGAGGCATCTATATGAAGACTGGGGGGAAAGAATTCCAGAAAGAAAGGCAATGTTGCTGAGACATAGGCAGGGAGGAGAAGGGTAGGGATGAGTCTGGTGATACAGGCGAGGGTTAATCATGTAGCGCCTAATATAGTCATGCATCACTTAACAATGGGTATACGGTCTGAGAAATGTGTCCTTAGGCAATTCTGTTGTGTGAACATCACAGAGTGTACTGAAGGGTTACAAAATCTGCCACCCCAAAATGTGTCTCTTTAATGTGATGATTATTTTAGGCTGATTATTTTTAAGAAACAAAAGACTCAGAGTGTTTTTCTTGTTACCTCCTCCTTAACTGTCTAAAGAATTCAGATTAAACCTGTCTCAGGAAGTGGGCTATCACCTCAGCATAACACGAACTAGGTGGTAGACAGGAAGGAACCTATAAAAGCCAGTTTGTTGGGCTCCGCTCTGTGTTCTTCTGTTTCTGTGTGGCCAAACACTTGTTTTCCAAACGTTTCCTCCTTTTCACTTATCTGTGAATTGCCTTCCTTCCCTTTGAAGACCCTGACTCTCCCCACCCCCAACATCTTCTTTTGTCTCTAGCAGAGGATGATATTTAAGGTGAGGGCTTTGGCCATTTTGGCGAGTTACTCAGTTTTCTTGGGTTTCTCCAATGTATACATGTTATTAAACTTTTGTTTGTTTTTCTTGTGTTAATCTGTCTCATGTCAATTTAATTCTTAGACCAGCCAGAAGAACCTAGAAGGGTAGAGGAAAATTTCTTTCTTCCCTACAGTACTTACACAAACCTAGATGGTATAGCCTACTACACACCTAGGCTACATGGTACTAATCTTATGGGACCACTGTTGTATATGTGGTGCATCATTGACCGAAACATCCTTATGCGGCATATTACTGTAGCCAGCTATATTGATAATTTTTTAAAATAAATGTGCTGGGAAGCCATGGTGAGGTTTTGAGTTTGGCTTGGTTTGTATTTTTAAAAGTTTTCCAACTTTTGTGTAGAGAATAGATTATAGGGAAGCAATAGAATCAGAGGACAGACAAAAGAGAAGGCTAGTGCAGTTATAAAGGATAGAGACAATATTTCTTGATGATTGGGGACAATGCGTTGACACAACAGGCAAATCGATGGTCATGGGATAATTAAAACTAACATGAATTTTAATTTAGATTATATTTACTTAATTTCTTCCAAATCTCAAGTACAAATGTGTGATTGTGCAGGTTATACCTATCAAGGATATCTTAAAAGTAAACAGTTTGCATATGTGAAGTAATGTCCCATATTTTCATTAGATATGTCCAACTCAATGAACATGTATACTTCCAGCGACTAGCAGGAAAAGAATTGTTGTAAAAAATAATTGGATGCAAAAGGCAACTGAAAACTGGAAAAGACCACAGCATGTAACTCATTATTATTACTCCAATGAAGAGAATAAATAAATACAATAAAGAAAGAAGATATACAATGCTATTTTGTCGATGTTTTTCATGAAAAATAATCATACAGGAAATTAGCTAAATTAGCTATGTGGGTCCCTGGTGTGTCTAAAGTGGTAAGTAATGGGTGCTTTCAGAAATACCACAGGATATAATTATCACAATAATATGATATATGAGAAATTATTATTTCTGTTTTATCCCTGATAAAATTGAGATTCCAAGGGCTAAGAATTTCATGGGTTTGACTCCAAGTCCAATAAATATTCTTTGTTTTGTAATACTACATTGACGCCCTACATCTTCATATTCATCCCTTCTTCACATTATACTGCAGATAAGTGTAGAACCAATACACCTATGCATATGAGCCATATTTATTTAGAAATTAGAATCAGGTTATTCCTTCCAAAATAGGGAAGAGGCATAGCTTTGCCAATTAAAAATAATAGAATTAGATGTCACAAGTGGTAAGAATGTCTTTTATTCTTATATTTGGAAAAAAATACATCTGTAAGAGTTTGGAAATAAAATATAACTGGTATAAAATATTCTACAAAGGAAATTGATAAATAAGTTTTTTTTTTTGTACAGGCACTCATTCTATAAAAGATAGCTATCTAAATTTATAATTTCCAAGGCTTTATTCTCAGTGTGAAGAGGAATATAAAGGTTAATAAGGCATATATTTTACCTTAAAGGAGTTATAAGATTTGTACAAATCAGCTACAATCAAGGGAAGAATGGGAAAACAGAAAGATCATATCTGAACTGCTATATAAGGAAAAATATAGACAAGATAGCATTTGAGAGATGTAAGCAATTGTGGGAGGAGGCAACTAAGGTTGAAAGAAAAGTTCGTGCAAGGATGAAGAGGTATGAAACACCATAGAAAATGACAGCTAGCTCAGTTTTGGTGCAGATAATGTGAGAGAAATTAGGAGAAACCTGTAAAGGGTAGCATGAAAGATATTAAGCATTTTGAAATAGTCATTTGTTACTCTTTGGCCACCCAGAAACCACAATTCTAGTATGAGAGATTTGTTTAAAGGATTTTAACCTGTCACATCTTTCCACTTTTATCTCTGATTTCTATTTCTCTCTGAGTCTCACTTGGAGGTGTGATGAATATTTAATTAAAATTTACATTAGGAAATTTTAAGTAATTGAGGAGTTCAAGTATTTAAATTCTAAGTAATTGAGGAGACTTAAACAATGAAAGCAACCAATATAACTGTGACTTAGTTTTAATTCATAAAACATTTTATGAAATCATGAGGATGGAAGCAGAAATAGTCAAATGAAAGCGAGAATCCTTGTCTGTCATTTCCACATCCTTAACATTTCCATGGTAGAAATTCTGTTCAGATGATTTGACCTGTATAATGTAATTTTAGTTGTTCTGTGAATTTTATTATATCTGATTAAATGGGTATATTTGCAGCTGTCCTTACTATTCTCAATTAGAATAATTAAAAATAATATTTTGTCTTCTTTGAGGGACAGGGCAGTTTAGGCTGTCCTTGCATCTTAAAAGGTTCAGGATCTAATTTAATATTAACCCTATGATGAGAAAGGGGATTTTGAAAGTGGACAATGATTTAGTAGTTCTAGGAGAGATATATGTAGGCACAGGCAGGAAAATACCAAACCTGACCTCAAATTTAGTAGGAAGCATGTAAGGATAGCAATTCAATTAATGGGCACTCACTGAGAATAATTAATTAATTAAGTAGTTTTTCAGAATGGCTGTCACTCAGATATTTTAACCAGGGTTTTGAGGAAAAAAGCTGTTTCAAGTAGATGGGAGGAAAATATCCAGTAGTTTTAGATAGAGGGTAGACAACCACAGAAGAATTTGTGTGTGTACACATATCCTATATCTTAGCAGCCTTAAAAAAAAAAAAGTAGATGGGGCTGGCCTGGTGGTGTAGCGCTTAAGTGCATGTGCTCTGCTTTGGTGGCCTGGGATTCGCAGGTTTGGATCCTGAGCAAGCACCCAACGCACCACTTGTCAAGCCATGCTGTGGAGGCGTCCCATATAAAGTGGAGGAATATGGGCACGGATGTTAGCCCAGGGCCAATCTTCCTCACAAAAAAAAAAAAAATGTAGATATACTTTGGGCTAGAGATGGACTCTAATTCACAAAGGTAAATTTATTCTGCTAAATTATAAGATTCAATGTAACTATTTCTGGGTTCTGAAAGAAGCCAATCAAGAAAGTGATAATAATATATAATAGTAGTGGTTTCTAATGGAAGTCTCACAGCACTTTGTGTGTCTTCTACAGGTGTAGTGTACTGGGGAAGAGCACATGCTGTGATGTCAGACAGATTTGGCTACAAATCCCTACTCCATCCCTTATCAGTTGGGAAATCTTCAGGAAATTGATTAGTAACTATGAATCTTGTAATTCCTAATTTGTAAAATGGAGAAAAGAAAACCACGACATCGTATGTTGTGAGGATGAAATGAAATATAGAAAATAAAATGTTTGACACAGTGCCTGGAGCAAAATCAATATTCAGTGGTAATAGTGAAAAGAAAAAGTTGATAGAGCTTATTCAAAGGTAGTGATGAGAAAGAACAAAATTCTTCTATTCTTCTCTAAGTTAGATTCCAGCTCTTCAACACACTTGTTACATAGTTAAAACATTTTTATTAACTAAAAACTCAATTTCTAAATTATTTATTCTTGAGCATCTGTTTCACCCATATTTTAGAGTAGTCATTTCACTCAATCAAAGTTGTAATGTGCATTAATAACTTATGACTACTTGATAAATACCTGTTTTCCCCATGCAACTGCCTCTAGGAAATATAGGTGTATGAATTTTTGTTGTATGAATGTATGAATAATAGCTAACAATGAGGTGGCAGGTAATTATTTGCTAGGAAGTTTACATCCTGCAGAATAATTATATCAGAACTCCAAAATATAAATAAAGATGGTAATTTGATGATCAAAGGGATATTATATCTGCATTTTTCTTTAATTTTATATCAGTTGACATTATCAGAGGCTAAAATACTAATTGACTGAAGATGTTTGACAAGTTTGATTGTTTTATCCCTATACTGAATCTCTCCTACCATTTTGGTTGTTGCAAAATGACAAAACTAACAATATTGGAGTTAAAGTATATTTCCCAAATCCTATATGGATGGACTTTTTAAAAACTTCTTTTATAATGTCTTTTTTTTTTCTTTTTTCTTTTTTTTTGGTGAGGAAGATTGTCCCTGAGCTAACATCTGTGCCAATCTTCCTCTATTTTGTATGTGGGATGCCACCACAGCACAGCTTGATGAGCGGTGTGTATGTCTGCACCTGGGATCTGAACCTGCAAACCCCGGGCTGCTGAAGCGGAGCACATGAACTTAACCACTACCCCACTGGCCCAGCCCCATAATGTCATTTCTTGAAAAATTGTATAGAAATGCTTAGCTAAACATAATATTCACACAAAAAAAGCTTAAGCAAAATGTATAGTGAATTATATCAGAAAAAGCATGAGATTTGGAATAAAAAGACTGAGATTCAAGTTTTGTCTCTATTTGTCCCTTTCCTAATTTTCTCACCTACTGCCTTTATTTTGGGCCATACCCATGTTGGTAAACATCAGACCGTGTGTTTATCTTTTCTCCCATTCTACTAAATAATTTTATAAAGTAAATCATTTAATTTTTTTTTTTTTAAAGATTTTATTTATTCATTTTTTTTCCCCCCAAAGCCCCAGTAGACAGTTGTATGTCATAGGTTCACATCCTTCTAGTTGCTGTA